ATCGGCGGCGGGCCCAGGGCAGGCAGTGAGGAGGAAAAGGCCTCCTCAGAAGGCTGCGGGACTTGTCAGAAGCCCTGCGGCCTTCCTGGCCATCGCTCGGACGTCCATTCCCTGTGTGTTTTTTCGTTTCGTGGGTGGTTTTTCGCCAAATGATCAAGGATGCTCCTCGATGGCCCTCGCCGAAGGAAAAATGTACACGTCCGAGCGATGCCGAGCTTCTGAACGGTTTCTGTGTCTTCGGGGAAGGCTTCAGAAAACCTCTCAGAAGGCAAGGGGACTCCCGATCCTTCGGAGAAGGCCCGCCCCTGCTCACTTCTCCGAGGAAGGAGGGAAGCTGGATCACGTGGACGGCACCGTGCGATGCGAGTCGCAGGGAGGGGTGAAACATACGAAGCACGGGGCGCACGCCGATTGCAGTCACGGCTCCCCTTGCTCGGACGCACCCGATGGGGACGGGGTCGAGGGTCGGACGGGCGGCACCTGAGAAGCTGACGCTGCACGGAGGAGACACGGTAACAAACGACGCCAGAGAACGAGGGAGGGCTGGCGAAGAGGAGGTGCACTGCCCAGCGAAGGAGAAGGGAGATGAGGGGGGCCTGCTTCCCCCCCACTCTCCCCAGACATCCGACGTCATGATTCGTGGCAAGTACCCCCCCGGACCTCTCACCCCATCCCGCGTCCGATTGTTTGCGATTGTTTGTTCTGGCCCGGATAGGCCGTCGAGAATGTGCCCGTGCCCAGCTGGCCCTGGCGGTATGCTCCTTCTGGCTTCACCTGGTCGCACGTGTGACGCATCGCAGACGGATTGCGCGAGTCCCGATACTCCTACGCAGGCTCAAATGCGAATTGAAAGCCATGGCGCCACCACCTCACAAAGCACAGCGACGGCGAGGCTTGCCTGCAGGACCCCACCTCTGCTTGGCCCACCTGCTGCTTCGGAACCCCATGGATACAGTCGAGCTTGATCGGACAGGGCACGAGACCCTTCCAAGGGCCAGGCTGCCCCAGGAATGCCAAGAATGACGTGGGGCGCGAAACGGAGGACGCGAGGGAGCCCTTGACTTGGGAGGCACGACCTGCGAATCACTCTCGGCCAGAAGAACACACGACGACCCAGCCATCACTTCCCGGGGGTGCGGGCGGATTTCTTGGAGCGGCGCTGGAGCCCCCTCGCTAGCGCGCGGCAAGAGCAAGGGGCGGCGCCGCAGGCGCCGCCAGGGGAGGGGGGCAGCGCCGATCCAAGAAATCTGCGCGGAACTGCGAAAGTTTAAAGGGACCCCAGAACACACAAATAAATACACACAAATAAAACTATTCCCCATATTTTCCTATATTTTCTGGGTTTTTATCTTCCCCCCCACTTCCCATATTTTCTGATATTTTCCTGGGGATCGACGATTCATTGTGTCTGTGTGTTTTTTCCCCTCCTGAAGGTTTATGCTCATGTGGCATCGACGTGCAGCTCGAGAGCGAGCCCAGGGGGAGCTCGAGGGATGCAGGGAGGGCGGGGGAGGCTGACGAGGAGGACTCGCGAGGGCTGAGGCTTCGAGGGTCTAGCCACTGGTCGAGCTCGGCCGTGCCTCAGAGCGGCCGCGCCACATCCGGTGAGTGTTTTTTTTTTATTCGGCGTTTCGACATTGGGTGGTAGGGGAGGGGACGAGGAGGAGGAGGAGGAGGAGGAGGAGGAGGAGGAGGAGGAGGAGGAGAGAAGGGAAGGAGGAGGAGGAGGGGAGGAGGAGGAGGAGGAGGAGGAGGGAGGAGGAGGAGGAGGAGGAGGAGGAGGAGGAGGAGGAGGAGGAGGAGGGGGGGGGGAGGGGAGAGGGGCGGTCTGGCTCCAGACCTCTGATCCGTGCGACTGCTTGCAAAGAGTGCGGCCTCTGGGGGAGACTCCGCCCGCTGGAAGCCGGCGCCACCAAAAAGCGGCCAAGACCTGCTCCAGGGGGGGAGAAGGGAAGGTTCTTCGGCGGTGGACAAACCTCCCTTTAGTAAACCTCCCCTTAGTGAAAGCGGCCTGGGACCGAAACCGACGGACCTGGACCCGCAAAAATAACGACCGCGACGCCCTCTCGCGAAGAGAAAACGGCCAATTCCTTAATCGACGTGTCAGGGTAGGAGGTCTATCCACCTCCGAGTTCTGGGGCCCACGCCGATCGGCAAATCAGCGAATGAAACACCGATCGCTCGTGCGGCTGGAGGGCACGGCCTGTTCACGACGGTGAACTGGACCTCCGGGAGCTTGCTGAACAGCGCGAGCGCCAGGAGCCTCCGGGCCGGGCGGGCGCGGGCAGGGAGCGCGCGCCCGTGCCGGAGCATGTGGTCGGCACGATGCACGAGAGCCGGAGGCACACACGGTCCAATCGCTTGGACTGGATCTGCCCCCAGACTCGTTTTTGTCGAGCCCATGGAAGTGCGACGTCTTGCTCGTAGACTCGACGAGGAAGTGAATTTTTGGGCACATCGATTCTGTAGTCGATCCCCTACTCGAAGACTTCGGCCCAACGTTGTGTGGCAGCAGTGATTCGTTGCTCAGTCCACATGGACGGATGACAGGGGACTACAGTCAGGCCGGGCATATCCTACAGTCAAAACATAATCAAACATAGTCAACAGAGTACGAACAATCGTCCCCATGGTTGCACCATTCTTGAATTTTCCTCTTGTAGAAAGGGGCGTGCCCGACTTACAACTACAGGGGACCCGAGAGCACTCCAACTCATGCCTCGCGACACGGTGACCTATGGCACGCCCTGCTCTAAAATCCTCCTAAGCTTCCTCTTTGTCGCAGGTCCTGCCCACCTGCGCTCCACGATCGGTGCCCGTAGTTCGTAGCTCTATCAGGCGAGAACTGATGGGCGAGCGTGCGCGGATAAGAATACCCACAGACCCCTCTGTTCGAGTAGGAATAACAGGAAGACACGAGTAACAGTAATAAACACATGAAGAATCCCGCCAGCCCTCTGGGCGTGAGTGGTTCGGAGCGGTTTTTCTTCCGTCTGCTCCTTCTTCCCCTTGGCGGAGGGAAGTACGCCTCAACCTCCCCTCCCCCTGGACCTGGACGGGGGGGTTCGTGACCGATTGGAGCGTCTACGAAGGCAGCGGCTAGAAGGCACAAATCAGTTATAGTACTTAGGCTTTGGGCCGATGTTTGCCTCCTAGGAAAACCCCAATTGAGAACCCTTTTGATACGTCTCCTCCAATTTGGCCTCAAGATGGCCCCCCCGGCTCCCAAGAGTGCCGAAAGAGGGCCCCAAGAGGCGCCCAGGAGGCCCCAAGAGGCTCCCCTGAGGCACCCAAGACGCTCCAGGAGGCCCCCTGGACCACCAAGAAGCCCCCTGGACGCCCGAAGAGGACTCCACAAAAAATTCAAGAGACATCCGAAGAGACTCCGAGAGGCATCCAAGGCCTCTGGCCACTCTGCTCGCCCTCCTCCTCCTCCTCCTCCTCCTCCGCTTCCTCCTCCTCCTCCGTATGTTCCACCCCCTCACCACTCCCTTTTCTCCCTCCTCCTCCTCCTCTTCCCCCTCCTCCTCCGACGACGACGATTCCCTTTCCATCCTCCCCTCCTTGGAGTACGACGGCTTCCCCAGCCTCCTGTTCCACTGCATGCTCCAACACATCCCTGATCAGGGCAACTCGCCTGGGCATCGTGTCAGGATGGTCTGCTGGGGTTACACGAAGCATCTATAATGATAATAAGAAGGTCGTACCATGATCGAAATAATCAGCATATGAGAAAGAAAAAACTCGAATATGCGGCTCGTGGGCAGCAGACGGCGCGCTTCTGCGGGATACGTAGAGCCGCAGGCCGCCATGCCAGAACAGTGAAAGGGCGCCATGAGCTGGGTGGAGGGTGAGGGGGAAGGCCGGGGATCGGGGATGGACAGACCTCCCTTTAGTAAAACGTGGTTAAGTGAAAACGACCTGAGGCCCAACCCTGGCGGGCGCAAGCGTGGAAAATAACGGCCGCGGCGCCCTCTCGAGAACCGAAAACGGACAATTCACGAATCGACGTGTCGCTGTTGGGGGTTCTGTCCACCCCCGAGGGGAGAGAGACGGAGCAAGACAAAAACCTCAAACCTTCCTCCCCGTGTGGGAAAACACAGACTCACGTGTGTTTTTCCCACAGACTCATGTGTGTTTTTTCCCACAGACAAAAACCTCAACCCTCCTCCTCGTCATTGCCCCCTGCTCCGTGACGGGTCCTCGACATCTTGCCGGCGCCGAGGACGCAGACCTTGGCGCTGGCGGCCTGCTTGCTCAGGTCGCGCATACACCTGGCGGGCACTGCAGTGTAATCCCCCGCTTCGCAAGACTGAAGGGGCCCCAGGACACACAAATAAATACACACAAATAAAAGAATTCCCCATATTTTCCCATATTTTCTGTGTTTCTGTCTTCCCCCCCACTGCCCATATTTTCCAATATTTTCCGGGGAAGTCGAGGATTAATTGTGTCTGTGTGTTTCTTTTCCTCCTGAAACATCCTGACACCGCGGCCGAGTCGTAGCCTCCCCCAAAACTCAAATCTTTCAATGTCGGCCGGTTCTGGGCTACTGGCGGCTTTCACAACCGGGAGCGCCCGCGCCGGCGCCGACGCCGCGCCGACGCGGCACGAACCCGCCGTCCACGCCTCTGTTGAAACTCCCCCTCCCACTGGTGCTCCTCCCTCCCCCCAATCGCTTTCCTCATACAAACACTCCTCCCTCCTCCCTCCTCCCTCCTCCCTCTTCCCATTCGTTTTCCTCTCCGTCCTCCCTCCTCCCTCCTCCCTCTCACTGGTGCTCCTCCCTCCCCTCAGTCGTTTCCTCATACAAAACCTCCTCCCTGTCGCACCCCGAGGCCCAAGCCGGCAAAACGGGCCGGGCGTTTCGCCTGAGACGTCCCTGCCGCTTCTGATCCCGGAGCGAGCATGTTGTCAGCCATTTCACCGACGGCGGACGAGCCGCTTTCAGATTGTGGCTCTCGCCGTAGCGCCGCGCACATTCATCTTCAACTTCGAAAGAAGTGAACGGATAGATGGCGGGCCACTCTCAAATTGTGGCTCTTGCCTTAGCGCCGCGCACATTCATCTTCAACTTCGAAAGAAGTGAACGGATTGATGGCGGGCCACTCTCAAATTGTGGCTCTCGCCTTCGCGCCGCGCACATCCATCTTCAACTTCGACGAAAGAATTACACGGATTGATGGCGGGCCACTCTCAGATTGTGGCTCTCGCCGTAGCGCCGCGCACATTCATCTTCAACTTCGAGCGACAGAATTCAACGGACTGATGGCGGGCCACTCTCACAATGTACGGGGGGGTCCGCGGGTCGTTGGGGCGCCCAAGACGGCTCAAAGAGCGAACCGGCGGGAAAGCAAAAAAGCATGGATTTCCCTAGGAGGAGGAGGAGGAGGAGGAGGAGGGGGAGGAGGAGGGAGGAGGAGGAGGAGGGGGAAGAGGAGGAGGAGGAGGGAAAGGAGGAGGGACAGGAGGAGAAGGAGGGGGAGGAGGAGGAATGAGGACTGCCCTTCAGTCGCTCGAGGAAGCGCAGGATTTGGGCCTCTTTTGGGCACCTCTCAAAGTGTGGCTCTCGCCTCCGTGCCGCAAACGCGCCTGCAGGCGCTGCACGGGGCGAGGGCGGGCCGCCTTTTTTCGGCCGTGGCGCTCGCCTTTTTAGGCGCCGGGCACGGGCGTTGGAGGAGGAGGAGGGGGAGGAGGAGGAGGAGGATGAGGAGGAGGAGGAGGAGGAGCGGAGGAGGAGGAGGAGGAGGAGGAGGAGGAGGAGGAGGAGGAGGAGGAGGAGGAGGAGGAGGAGGAGGAGGAAGCACTGAAGAAGCTTCGCAGGCTGAGGGCGGCGGTGTTACGTTGGCTCTCGCCTTCGCGCCGCGCGCAGTCGTCATAACATACTGCAGGAGCTTGCGGATCGGGGGCGGTTTCTGTCTCCCGATGAGGCGGTTCCCTCAGGGGAGATGCATGAACCCTTGTAGGAGCCTGTGAAAGAGGAAGCTTGGAGGGGAGCTTGGAGGGAGGGTTTATGCCAACATCGTTGAGCATCGTTGATGGGTCTTGGGTTTGCACTGGTCCTACCTCCTCCCCCTCCTCCTCCTCCTCCTCCTGGTCGGCCTGGCTCGTGCCCCCCTCCTCCTCCTCCTCCTCCTCCTCCTCCCTGCCTCGATGTTAGCCATCTGGGGACCCATCTGTGCCCGCACCAGAGGTCACTCCGGCGAAAGGTCACTCTTACGTCTAGACGGCGTGCGAACTCGACTGCGTCGTGTCCGCGGTCGGGGGGTCCTGGCACCTCAGGTGGTGGCCGGGCCCCCCGTGGCCCGCGCGCGGGGCGCGCGCGGGCGCCTGCGCGGCCGAGCGCCGGCGCAGCTGCGCGCTCCTCCTCCTCCTCCTCCTCCTCCTCCTCCTCCTCCTCCTCCCCTCCTCCTCCTCCTCCTTCCCTCTCCTCCCCCCCTCTCTCCCCTCTCCTCCTCCTCCTCCTCCTCCTCCTCCTCCTCCTCTCCTCCTCCTCCTCCTCCCTCCTCCTCCTCCTGCCTCCTCCTCCTCCTCCTCCTCCTTCTCCTGCCTGCTCCTCCTGCCTCCTCCTGCGCAAGGCAGGTCGAGTCACTGCTGCCGTCGCCGTCGATGCCATCGCCGCCACGAGCTGGCGCGCGCGCGCCCGCTGGCTACATGTTCGGCTCAAGGCGCCTGGCGCCTGCCACCGTGAGCTTGGCGTGCGGCTATGGAGCTGGATCCTTTCAGTAGCGGGCTGGAGTAAGAGGTCGCGCCTAGCTGCACACCGAACATGTTGTGGGAAATTGACCAGGCACGTCCAAAGACTTACGTGACTCACGACGGTGGGAACGGTGGACCCGCAAAAATGCGTCGAACTTGCACGATTACAGGAAACTATGCTCAGTCATTTTCATTCCTCCTCCTCCTCCCCCTGACTATCCTGCTCTCCTCAACCCACTTCTTTGCATTTCGCCTCTTGCTCTTCCTCCTCCTCCTCCTCCTCCTCATAATCCTCCTCCTCGCACTTGTAAAGCTAAGCAAATGCGCCTGGACATCCACAGCTCGACGGCAGCGCTAGACACCTGCCGCAGAGTCCGCAAACACGGAGATGCAAGCGGAAGAGAGGCATAAGGGGCAAACGGAAAAACCAAATCAGGTAAGATCGAGCAAGGGGGGGGGAGCCACAATCAGAGTACCGTCGTCGCCCAGAGGCGGCCGAAGGCTGAGCGACGAGCGCGCTGCGGAGAAAGCTGTCCCTCGTAGAGTACCCCGAACACGCATTCGTTCAGGTGTTGCAGCACATGCGCACGTACTTAACATGAGGACATGCGTGACGATAGGGACGGGGGTGACAATTGTGGACGAGCCCGCTGCACACGCAGATTTTTCGGGTGCGCCGAAGAGGGTGCCGGTCAGGCCAGGGAGAGGGCGATTAGCGCATCATGGCCTGAGGTACTGCGCGGACGCGGACGAAGGAGGCCCAGGACTGCATTGAAACAACAATAATAAGGGCCATGATGCCTGCGATAGTTCAAGGCTCCGGACAGGGTATCCACATTCCTCCAGTCCCCCTGCGGAACATCTTACTGCATGTCCATCAACTTTTGGAGCTCCCCGCGGATTGCTTGGATCTTCTCAGGGCCACCCTGGCGCTCTCGGCGGAAGGGGTCGCCGCCGGTCGACACGACTCGAACCTGCTGTACAGTAGGAGCCCGACCACAAGTAATCTTCCACAAGGAACCCAACCCAGCAATTCCAAGGCATCCCTTGATTTTTGGTGTGGGAACGCCACGCTTTCCATAGCAAAACCATCGAAACGCAAGAAACCCAGGGCACCCCGGAGGCAAGCAGGATGTTTCTTGGCATGGGTCTCCTCTGTACGCCCTTTTCCCTCTTCGACCCCGTGGGGCGCCCTCAAGATTCTGTGGGGAAGAGGATGCCCCTCGCCTCTGGAGCCCCCACCACGCCTCGGGTCTCCACGGCCAGGTCGGCGCCCGAAGTTATCCAGGGTAGCTCGAGTCCGGGGTAACTCGGGCTTGGGTTCCCGAAAAACGAGCCCGAGTTAGCCCTGACCCAAATTACCCCTGATGAGTTGGGGCTTTGGGCGCCCGAATTATCCAGGGTAACTCGGGCCCAGGATATCTTGGGTTCGGATTCCCGAAAAAACTAACCCGAGTTAGCCCTGACCCGAGTAACCCCTGATGATTCAGGGCTCTGAACCAGGTCCTCCAGAACACACACGCCCGACAAAGGGAGAACGAGATAGAAAAGTCATACCAATGCTGCGGCTGCACCTCTGGTCAAAAACAGACGACACACCCGAGAGGCCCGAAGAGGCCGTCAAGGCCCCCGAATTCTGCCAACAGGCCCCGAAAGGCCTCCCGAGAGAGACCCTAGCAAGCCTCCCAACACGGGAAAGCAAGGAGGGGGTGGGAAGAAGGAGGAAGAAGGGAGGGTAGGGAGGAGGCGACTGGACGGAAGGGAAGGAAGGAGGCCTCTTGCCCACGACCCAGTCTGGCCGAAAACCACGAAACACCACATACAATATGTGCCAACGGAATGAGCGAAGATGAGCCGTGTTATACATCGAGATTATATGATGAGATGCTGATGATGAGGGTGATGCTGCTGCTGATGATGGTGGTGATGCTGATGATGATGCTGCTGATGATGCTAATGATAATGAAGATGATGCTGCTGATGATGCTGATGATGATATTGATGCTGATGATGCTGACGATGATGATGGTAATGCTGCTGACGATGATGATGTTGTTGATGATGATGATGATGATGATGGTGATGACGATGATTATGATACTGCTGCTGCTGCTGCTGCTGCTGCTGCTAATGATGATGATGATGATGATGATGATGATGATGATGATGATGATGATGATGATGATGATGATGATGATGATGAGGATGAGGATGAGGATGATGACATGGTAATGGTGAGAAACATGCGTAAAACACATTCTACGAGCAGCTCCGCGTATTCCGCTGGCACATTGATGCTGCATCATGCCAGGCTCCGTGCGCATACCCTCGAAACAGAAACATATCAGTTAAGCATGCCCTGCCCCGTGTTCTCCTGGGACGCCCCAAACCACCAGTGATTCGGGCCCTCGAGGCTACCGGAAGGCGTACCAATACAAGCGATTGGTCCTTCCGTTCTGATGGGGACCTCAACTCGGCGCACCTCTCGCGCGCTTCGAGCACGTTGGGCGCTCCGCTGGCCCCCGAGACGGCTCCCTGGAGCCTCAACTCGACACGCCCCCCCCTCTCACGCACTTCGTGCCCCACGGGCCCCTTTTTGGCCCCTAGCTGGCCCCCCCACACCGACCGAGCCCCCAACGGCCGCCAATGCGACCCCCCACGGGAGATTGCAACGGCTGGCGTCGACCCTCGGCGAGGCCGTCCCCCGAACACCCACTGCTTGCGAGATCGGCGTGCGAAATCCCCCCCCGGGGTCCCGCCGTGACTCCCGCTCTGCGGGCGCAATCGAAAATCCGTGTCTATGCTGCGGCTGCACATCCGGTCCAACACAAACGGCACGCAGGGCTCCCAGGGCATCTCGCGGGCAAGCGATACCGAGCATCGTTTAGCCGATCCCAATCCCCAACGGCGTGGCCTGGTCCCCACTGGCCGATTCACCCCCCTAGACGGGGATATGGGCCGTTCCCTTCGGGCTTCGAGGGGTGTATCCCCAACCGGGGTGGTACTTTGGTAGGGGTCTCGAAGGGGATGAGGATGGGGATGGGGGTCGGTTAAACGATACTGAATGCACGACTCCCAAGGCATCTCGCGGGCAAACGATACGGGGTCGTCTTCCCATCAGGAAGACGCCCCTGGCGCGAACGAGTCTGGCGGGCCACACTCTCAAGGGACGCACGGCCGGGAATACGTTCCTGACCCTGCATCGTTCCAGCTGCGCCTTGACCCACAGACAAGGCAGGAGGAGGAGGAGGAGGAGGGGGAGGAGGAGGAGGAGGCACGGAGGCACAGAGGCACGGAGGAGGAGGAGGAGTGAAGGGAGGGACGGACGGCGCATCTGGCACGCATGCGGAGTGCGGACGAGACAGAAAAAGACATCTGCAAGAAGCTCCCACGGCCAACTGCCGCTCGAGCTGCTCACATGGGTGGGAGTCCATGTCCTGCCAAATTCCTTCCCCTTCCTCCAAGGGGTAAGGGAATACGGCACCACCACCAAGAACGTTGTTTCCCACACCACTTTCCTAAACAACTCTTGTCTCGTACTGGTGGGGCCGTATCGGGAATCAGTCGGGCGCCGTTGTATCCCGTTTTCTGCCGTTGTCTCGCGAGGTCTGCCCTTGTCTCCAATAGTCTCCCGTTGTCTTCCGTTGTCTCCGCCGTCTTCCTTTTCCTTTCCCTATTCCCAAACCTCTATCCTCTTCACCATTGTTTGCATCCTGTCCTATGTCCCAATCCCCATGCCGGTCTCCTCCTTTCGATTTCAAAGTACTTCCCGCATTCGTATTCGCGATCCGATTCGTAGTTGTAACAAAATCAATGCGCGGCACCCAGACCTTTCGACCTCTTCCAACAACCAACTTTTTCGTCCGGGACTGTTGGTTGACGGTCCTGGTTTTCGATAGTGGTCGCCAGAGGACAAGCACTACGGAAGACAGATCTTTCCCTACAAAGCTTGCCTGGGCCCTAAATCGGCTCCTAAGAATCCGAGTATGAACGGAAACAGACCTGACATCGGTCGGGCGCCGATTGTCTCCCCTCGTCTCCATGATCACTCGATGTGTCTAACTCTATGCCCCTCTCTAAGCCACAGTGTGAAGCATTTCAGGGTCTTCTGAAGCACAGGTGTGACTTAGTTTGTTTTTCGGTGGTACTTCTGTTCAGTGGTGTGGCCCTCCTTTCCTGCGGCACCCCGCTCGAGACATCTCCAATCTCCAGCTCCGGGAGGCATCGTTGACCTCCTTGTCGGAGGTGGACCGCCTGTGGTGGCAATGTCGCCTCTCCCCCTCTCCGATCATCTCTCCTCGCGCCCAACCGCAAGGGTGTCCCGCAGAGGCTGGCGGGTGGCGTGCCGACACGGAGCCCTTGCCGATCTTGGTGCGGGTTCGCACGAGCTTGCCCATGCGGATGCCCGCGTTCAACATCTTGGATACGATCTTGCCGCCAGAGCCTCATCCAGGGAGCAAGCTCGGTCACCCTTACATGCGATGAGATGCCATACGGCCCGCATTCCAACCCCGAAGGGCGGTGTTCTAAGAGGGCAATTGTATGGGGCACGCAGTCCCGCGCCTGGGAGGAGACAGTGAGTGACTGCTGCACGGAGAAGAAAGTGTCGCACGAGGACAGGGGCTGGTGACAATGAGAACAAGGAACACATGCAAGATCACAGCTGAACGTGTGCAACACGAACCTGGCCGGGCCCGAACGCTGTGTCTCTCCTCTGGTCGTTGAAGTGTTGAAGGCTAGCCGAAACCAGCACATAACTGGGCAATCTATGTATCAGCAGGTGGAACGCGAGCCAATGGTAAGCGCAAAGCAATATACGGCAAGCGAGCGTCAAGCTAGTATAATTTGTCAAGCTCGCTAAATCAGCTCGGAGTGACCAGATGGGCGTCGTCCTACCTGAACACCTGCTTACCTGTGCTGCAAGGTCGCCTCTTCTCAGCTGAGACCGATCTGATGTTCAGATGCCGCGAGGTCTCGCGGGCATGCGAAGGGAGGATGCACAGGACGACGAGAAGAACCAGCAGCAACGACAAAGGCGGCAGCGCCTGCGACGACTTCCGCGCCCTCCTCGGTGCTCGCCTTCTCGATGCAGTGCTCGTGGCACGCCTCCGACGGGGCCCGAACGCAACAAAGGTTGAATCCTCTGGGGCAAGATGCGGCCCATGATCGAGCACCGAACAAACAAAGCTCAAATGCAGGACAAGGGGTCCCCCGTCCACAGCCCACGCGCGTGGGGTGCCACACGGCTGACAAGGCCATGACGTGATTGTACTCGAGCTGGCGCGAATGCGCTGGCTCTCTTGCTCACGCCAGGCCGTGGAGGGCCCTGCTGGACTGCTGTCTTACTGGCGTCTCCTGTCGTCCGAGGCGCTCGCCAAGAGGCGCCCGAGGAGGCCTCCAGCAAGGCCCTGGCAAACTTGCTCGAATTTCAGTTTCATCCATTCGCCTTGGCCCGTTCCGCCGGGGGACCTTCCCGGAGCCACTCGCTCCACTCGTGCGTCGAAGCTGCGACGAACGTCCGTCGGTTCGAGTCGACCTTGAACCGAGCCTGAGTCGAGCCTGAGTCGAACCTGAGTCGAACTTGCGTCGAACACGGGGTCGAACAGATCCGTTTCATCCTGAGGCTGCTCCGAGTTATCATCCCTGAGTCGCTCTGCCTTTGCTCCTCGTGCGCACAGTTTCTTCGCCCTGCCCTGCCCGGCTGTGCACTGCGCTGCGGTGCGCCGTCGTGGAGCTTCACATTGCAGCGCAGGGGATCCTTGGGCTGCGTGGCGTTCACCCTCATCCTTCTGCTCCTCCTT